AGGACATAGAGTGTGTTAATAAATAACGCACCATTGTGACACATTCGTTTGAAGACGTGGTTCTGCAGGTTTGTTATTCTGAGTGTCTTGCACTGGGTCAGACTCTGGCTCGTACATGTAAGGCTGGATTGACAAGTCTACCGTTGTTGACATCCTTATACTTTTTTGCCATCTGCCATTACTAATATGCACCTTCATATACATTCATTTTTGTACTGTACTTTACGGTTTATATATGTAAATAAATAAGCATATGTGTTTATGTGTATGTGTATATGTGCACTGGTACATTACTATATATCACGTGTATATTGTGGGGTTTTGTTTGTTATCTTTTATTAATCTTTCATTATTCTTCTCAGCCTCTCTTGAATTAAGCTGCAGTAATGTGCAAATTTCCAGACTGTGGGATCAATAAAGTTTTATCTTATCTTATTTTATCTTAAAAACAGTTTTTAGTCGGTAGATAGCTGTTTTTTCTATGAAACTACAAATATGGCCGAATGAGGTGGAGTCGAACGCTCAGCGACCTGGAGGGGGCGGGGTGTGAAATATCTCCTTTGTATTTAAAGAGACCTCACCAAAACAGCTTGCTCTGAGGCGCAACTCAGAACAGGGGTAAAGCAAGGAAAGCAAGGAGTCTGTGGAGCAACAAAAACGAGGAATTAAGACCAAAGCATTGCAGTTTTATTTTAAGTAGACCATAAGTGAATGATTTAGACGTGAAAAAGAAGGATTTAAAAGCATGATATGATACCTTTTAATGTGCTTACAAGTGAGTGGACCAAGTTAGCCAGGTTATCAGCTGAGCGTGGTGTCTGGGTATGAGCTTTGTGTATATGTGCAGCTTTCTGTGAAAAAAAAAAAAAAGGCGGGCGAGCGAAGCGCAACAATTGCTTGGAGGAGGAGAGAAGATGGTGTGATTAGATGAACGAGGAAGGCAATCCACTGCTCAGAGAGATGGAACTCTTCATCTTCCAAGTGTGTGTGTGTATGTGTGTGTGTGTGTGTGTGTGTGTGTTTGTGTGTGATGTGAGCACCTTATGAAATCCTCACTGTTTACAGCTCTGAACACTGATCTAATACTCACACTCACTCTAGACATGAACACACAATCGTGCCCTCACAGAAAGTGATCTACTGTTCACTCGCAGTGGAAAGGATTGTCAGATAGAAATACACCTCCTTCACATTCTTTATCTGTCTCTCACACACACACACACACACACACACACACACACACACACACACGTGTAACCGAGGAGGACAGACCTGTTAACCTGTTAGCAGCCATCTTGTTTCACATCTTGTGTGTGTAAGAGATGACTGTGTTCAAAGTGTAGACACACACACACACACGCCTTTGCTCGCCACGGTACAGTAATTTTTTTTAATCAAATTGATGGAGAGAGACAAAGACAAAAAAGACAGAGGCAAAGAAGGGGGGAGGTGAAGTCAATTTATGTTTCATGATATGGCTGCGCAGAGCTGCACACACACACACACACACACACACACACACACACACACACACACACACACACACACACACACACACACACACACACAGAATGCACATTTGTGATACACGCACACAAAGGCTCCTAACAGTGGTAACAACGTGTCAAGGCGAGCGCCAGGCAGCTAATTTGAAGTCATTAGATGTCTGCCGTACTGGCAACAATTTGTTACGCTCTCACACGCACAAACACGCACACACACAAACGCATCACATAGACACACTGAGTTAAGAGCCGTCTGCGGATAGCGAGGAGCCTAAATTGTAAACTAATTTAAACATCACTCAGCATTAGAGAGGCTGCCTGCAAGACAGGCCCCCGGATAACAAGACCGAGGTTCTTGTGTGTCTGTGTGTGTGTTGTTAGTCATGTTTGACACAGAGAGTCACAGAATCTTAAGAGAATTTTGTCATTACAGCAGATACATACGTTTCTGTAATTGTTTTTTTATATATATGAAGACTTTTCTATATAAACAGTGTGCAGCTTTAGTTATCTCACATTTAACCTTAAGGCCCTGTCACAATATGACGTTTTAAACAACTTAAACCAACTTGTAAAATATTGTCCAACACACTAAAGATGTCTATATGGAAGATAGAATGAAAAAATCTACTAGAAGCCTCTTTTGGACGTATGTGTCTTTAATGCTAATGATTAGACTGAATATATAACCTACCAGAGTAATTTAGCTGTAA